TTTCTATATGTATTATTTGAATTTGTAAAATAGGGATAGTAACTAGTTTTTGTTTGTGGTTTCTTTAAAACCAAAAGTCCTTTAGTAACTAGGAAGAAAAACTTGAACGAGCTCAGACAGGAGGAGGTGACTATTAGAAGTGGAATGATACATCTCAGAGACTCAAGCTGAAGTACAGTCAGGAGTTAAGCCCGCTGGAAACAGGGGCCCGAAAGAGGCTGTGAGTGAAACCAGAGCTTGATTCGTCCTTCTGTGCGCAGGTGCCCCGGCCTCATGCCTTCCCTTCTTCTCCAGCATCTGCTCTCCTCTTCTTTCTTTCTAGTTTACATATAGCCTGTTATGGTTTCCCCAGTAGTCCCCTGGGTTCCCAAAATGATGTCACATAACAAAGCAGAGAGATTCTAATAGCATCCGTTGAGATCAGGCGTTCTCGCTAAGCCTCTGTGGTAGTGGAGGGAGACCTGAGCCATGTGGGGATGGCTGTGCTTCTGGCAGGAGAAAAGGGCTGATTTCTATAAATGGCATATGAAGTACAAGGTTGAAAGTTTGGCAGAAGAATTGATTGGCATCTCTAACTTACCATTCTTTCTAACCAGGTTGTTATGAAGATTGAGAAACAATTAGAGCACAGATGAAAGCAGTGTATAATCTATAAAATTCTATATTAAAAATAAGGTAAGGGATACACTGTTGCAGACTTTCAAAGGTTTTGTATCTGTGCTAACCTTGGAAAGAGTAACACATCTAACTGCCATTAACTCAGAATGACACAAGCTTTCAATGGATTAAAAACGTGGGGATAAATCAGTACACAGATCACAGGAATAAGGCGTTGATACAAAACAACAACAGCACCAACAAACTAAAAGCAGTGGGCTCCAAAAGACATGTTAGAATTACACATGAATTTTTCATTTAAACGTCACATTTCCTCCCCACTTTTGCCATGTACTGGTCCCTGACATCAAGATTATAGCAGATGGATTTGTATTGTGGAGACCCATAAACTAAATTCAATTTCACAAATATGTGACTATCTGTCATCTGAATATTTGCATTTATATGGTGCTTCTCTATGTATTTATGAAGTCTCTTTCCAAAATGTATTTTAGGAATATCATTTAAGTAAATAATAAAACTTAAAGCCAATGTTTATCAACATAATGCTCAACTGAATTTGTTCTTTTCAGCATTTGTATAATTAGTAGGTTACATTCTTATATTTTTCTGTTAGTATATGATCTTCTCACTTTCAGATGCCTATATAGTGTATCAGATGACTCTTGCCACTTGTAAATTAAGAAAATGTATCTCCAACATTCCTGGATTCTGTAATGCTCATATTTTTTTTTTTTTCTGCTTGGAATTATCTGTCTTCTTTATATCTTCCAGATATATAACATCATGTTATACTTAAAGAAAAAAATCTCTTTTCTCTTAATGCAGACTATTAGCCACGTATATGTTATCATGAATTTCACCCTACATGTCTCTTCTCCCAAGGACATTTGCATATAAATTTTAGAGTGGAATAAAATATTTTGTTGTCCAACCTGGCCAACGTGGCAAAACCCCTTCTCTATTAAAAATACAAAAATCAGCTGGGCATGGTGGGCACTCTCCTGTAATCCCAGCTACTTGGGTGGCTGAGGCAGGAGAATCACTGGAACCCAGGAGGTGGAGCTTGTAGTGAGCTGAGATCATGCCACTGCACTCCAGCCCAGGCATCAGAGCGAGACCCTCAAAAAAAAAATATTTTGTATTATAACAACTATATATGACTTTCTTTTTGTTTTTCCTTGGAGAGGCTATAACCTTCCTTTCTCATGCTAGTTCCCTTGCCCCACACTCACGTGGCCAACAAGGGTTAAGCCCTACACGTATGTGTCTTGTCTGTACCTGCAGAGGCAGAGCAGCACAAAGGGTGAAGATATAGCTTAGTTACCTCACCATCTGTAAAAATTAAGGAGCAAAAATGAGAGGGCTGGGGAGGGCGAGTTATCTGTCCTTACGGACAGCATAACGCTGATAAGCAAAGCAGTCTTTAGGAGTCAAAAAGTACATGGCTGCACCTCCCCACGTAACAAATGTTGATAAAATGGGCTACAGCAAAGTGTAAACCTGTATCTATAGGACAGACAACACTCTCTTTCCCAACATGAGACTTTCACCCTAATGTATGACCATCCAGTATATCAATAGTCCAAAAGAGATGAACTTCAGGTCACACAGTTAAGAAACTGTAAATTTTGTTTTATAGCTTTTTGCTTTTGAAACATCTGTCTTTCTGGAAATGCATTCTATTTCTCTCTACCTACCTACCTGCCTACCTAGCTATCAGATATAAATATATATTCTACAAACTACAGACAAAACTACTATAAGGAAAGTAAAGACACTCCTCAAATCCCAGTATCCAAGTTAAAAAATATATCAACATTTTGGAAGCTTAATATCAGATATCTGACTGTCTCTATATGAGTAGATAAATACACAACTAGCTCTAAATGATGTAATGTGGTATCTTGTATTATGTTAAAGCAAAGATAAAATAATTTAACTTTTCTAGAATTAAATGAGAACAAAAAACCTATATATATATACACTATATATAGTAAAACCTATATATATATACTATATATATAGTAAAACCTATATATATACACACTATATATATATATAGTAAAAGACATTAATTCCCATAAAAAAATCAAAGGCAAAATAAATTTATACCTGAAGTTTCAGCATCTGGTAGCCTGCTGCTCTGAAAGGTTAGAAAGAAAAAATACCCACATCTCTCTAATTCCCATAATTGACACTTTTAAATTTCTGTGCCTATAACATCTATACTCTCTCCTACAACTATAGCACCTGCATTGTTTAGTTGAGGTCGTATATGGAAATGGGTTCCCTGCTCAACATCAGTCATGTGGCCACAATTTCTTTATTGTGCACTTCCCATTTTCTCATTGGCGACTAGATTGTCTCATTTGTATTCCTGAAGTGCTGTTTGCATGATAGAACCTGACTTGCCCAAATTTACTGAGCAAATCATCTTCTTCAGTCATACTTTCACTCAAAGCTTTTGAAAGCAACATTTTCTGACTCTGCTTCCATTCCTCACAGGTGCTTTATGTCTCTTGGTATTATGGCACTTCTTTTAGGGAACAGTACATTCTCTTGGGACCAGAATTATATGGTATATCTTTTTCATATTTTGTCCTAGATTTCCTAGTACTGGGAAGGTCTGCATACCTTTTGGGTATGGCCAGTTCCTTGTTTCATGTTTTTCTGTCTATATTCATTTTTTAATAGTTGTTTCCAATGACTTTTATGAGAGAGAAATAAAATTTATATTACTTCAACATCATTATGCAGAATTTTTGATAACTTATAGTAACTCAACAAGTCTCTCATGTCCATAGCCTGATGAATATCAGGTTATAAAAATGAGCTAATATATACTAATGTTACACGAAAGCTGCATTTTTGTCATGTTCCTCTACCTTTGCTTGTGTATCACTTTTTCACCAAGTCTTTTTGCTAACTGAGACGTCTTCATACTTCTGTGAATACCTCATATGTTATTCTGTATACACTAGGCTAGTTTTTTCTTATCTATTTTCTTCTCTTTTTTGGTCTTTGTAAATCTGATAAACCTTTCTTTTCTGATGCAATATTTTTTCTTCCTCCTTTATTTTTTCCTCTTCTTGTTTTTCTTTTGGGTTTCCTCATGTTCTCTTTTTTCATTTTTCCTTCCTTCCTTCCTTCCTTCCTTCCTCCCTCCCTCCCTCCCTTTCCCCTTCTCTCCTTTATTCCCTTCCTTGCTTCCTCCTATATTCATTCCCTTTTATTTTTTTTTATTTCTAGAATCGGTTGATTCTAGATTGTTTTATGATTTCACATTTCTTAGTTTCCTTTAGCTTTATTAAGGTGCAATCACAAAAAAATGTATATATTTATAGTATGCAACATGGTGTTTTGATACATGTATTGTGAAATAATTAATTCAAGATAATTAACACATCCATCACAACAGTTATTTTTTGTAAATGGTGAGACCACTTAAGAGCCGTTATCTTAGCGATTTTCAAGCATGCAACATATTATTAACTACAGTCACCATGCTACACAATAGATATCCAAAACTTATCCATCTTGTCTAACTAAAACTTTGTACCTTTTAACAGATTATCTCTAATTTTAATCCCTCTCCACTGAAGCCCGTGTCAATCATCATTCCTGTTTTACGGAATTAAACATCATGGTCTTTGTTTGTTGATTCATATTTATCTAAGACAATATTGTTTCTTTCCTTTTTAAGTTGCCATTTGCTGGTATTTGTACCAGTGTTCCTTTGAAGCAAAAGTGTTTTGCCTCTGTCCTTAATTATGTTCTTTTACTCTCAGTGAATTGCTAGAAAATTGGAAACTTCCAGTTACTAACAAATACCATGATTTAAGATCAAGAACTGACGTTGTAGTTGCATATATCTAACTATTCTTCACACAGATTTTATAATAGAGGTACCTTCTGGGCCCTGGAGGAAAAATTATAAGGATCATTTGCATTCTCAATAGGAACTAAGTTTTTACATTAATACACAGTCAATACAAAGTGCTCTTTTTAATACACTGTACATATTGTGGGAGTCGATTCCTTTTTACATCTTTCTAAATGATTCTCTGATTAATAGGAATTTTAACTCTAAATGTTTATGCCATTTTGACTTTATTATCCCAGACAACTTCAAAATGTCTTCCATTTTGACTTAGTATCTCTCACTTCCAGCCTAAGTTTTCCTATGTTATTCCCCAATGGAGATTACATGAGAGGTTAATGGTTTCTATGGATCTTTTAATAGAAGTGGCAAGAATGATTTCTGGTATCTGCCAACATCTGTTGTGTGAGTTTATATATATATTATATATATATGGCTGTAAATATAACATGTTCTTATTTAACATGTTTATTGATAAATGTATCAAAATTTGGCTTACCTCCTCGCTTGTTTATCTTGGCATAGCCGGGAGAATAGCTACCAGTCATGGAGGAGGAGCTGCTGAAAGCCACATGGGGGAGTCCAGAGACGAGCGGCTCATCACATTTTTCTGAAAACAAAAGACAGAGAGGGAGAGAGACACTCAATAACAATTTCTAAATAATTATTGGTATGTGTTAGTTAAAATAATCATTGAATCTGGTATGTCTTTTATAAGTCTTTGAAACAATATTTAGCAAAGGAATTGAGGCACTTCTGTTATCCAAAATATAATATAACACAGGAGCAGTTTATATAACCCTGATATTCAAACAGAAAGCCATAGCAAAGTGCATTACCCTGAAGGGCTTCACCTCAGCCTTGCTATCTGAGAATCATGAGTAAAATTGAGCTTGTTCCTGTAATAAGCTTTGGTATCAGGCATCACCTGGAAATCTTCAGGTAGTTATACATTATAGGGACAGAGCACTGGAATTACTAAGGTTGGAGGTGGAAAGACAAAGAGGACTCCTACCAAAGTCAAAAGACCAAGAAATGGGGAGTTGCTAACCAACACGTATAAAATTTCAGTTATGTGAGATGACTAAGTTCTGGAGATCTGGTGTGCAATATTGTACCTCTAGATAACCATGCACACTTATCAAGGCAGATCTCATGTTACGTGTTCCTACTAGAATAGAAAAAATAGGCTGGGAGCGGCGACTCACGCCTGTGATCCCAGCACTTTGGGAGGCTGAGGTGGGTGGATCACCTGAGGTTGGGAGTTTAAGACCAACCTGACCAACATGGAAAACCCCATCTCTACTAAAAATGCTAAATTAACTGGGCATGGTGGTGCGTCCCTGTAATCTCAGCTACTCGGGAGACTGAGGCAGGAGAATTGCTTGAACCTGGGAGGCAGAGGTTGCGGTCAGCCAAGATTATGCCACTATACTCCAGCCTGGGCAACAAGAGAGAAACACCATAAGAAGGGAGAGATAGAAAGAAAGAGGGAAGGGAAGGGAAGGGAAGGGAAGGGAAGGGAAGGGAAGGGAAGGGAAGGGAAGGGAAGGGAAGGGAAGGGAAGGGAAGGGAAGGGAGGGGAGGGGAGGGGAGGGAGGGGAGGGAGGGGAGGGAGGGGAGGGAGGGGAGGGGAGGGGAGGGGAGGGGAGAAAGAAAGGAAAAAGGAAAGGAAAAAAGAAAGGAAGAAAGGAAGGAAGGAAGGAAAGGAAAGAAGGAAAGGAAAGAAGGAAAGGAAGAAAGAAAGGAAGAAAGGAAGGAAGGAAGGAAGGAAGAAAGAAAGAAAGAAAGGAAGAAAGAAAGAAAGAAAGAAAGAGAGAGAGAGCGAAAGAGAAAGAAAGAGAAAGAAACAAAGAATGAACAAGACATCACCAAGTAAAGACAGAATAATCACCAACTTGAAAATTATTACTGACAGAAAAATTAATCAGTTCCCATCATACTCAACCAATCAACTGCACTGGAAACGGGCGATACCTCAATTCTATTTGTAACACTTTCTGCACTTGGCTTTTATAATGTCATTAACATTTTTTTTTCTCTTTTTTCTCATTAGCTGCTTGCTCTCTGATTCCTTTGATGGATCTTTCTCATTTTGCCAATGCCTAAGTGTTTCTAATGTTAACGTGGCCAGGACTGTTCTGAGTCTACCCTCCCTCTCTGGGAGATGGCATGGAGGGCTATGTCTTCTGATACTGGGATGTTCCAAGTCCTACTGCCTCACTTCAACTCCATAGCTACAGATCGTGCACACACAGCTTCCAGAGCTCTCTGTTACAAAAGACTGTGTGGTCTTCCTGCTTCCCCTCTCACTCTGCTATAGTTCTGTCTGCAGCAGCTGAAGAAACACTTTTTAAACTGTAAGTGAACATGTGGCTGCTGTATTCAAATTGTTCTCTGCCTCCTGCTCTCAACTTGGCATAGCGTTCAAAGTCCCCCCCCCCCCCCCACAACCAACCCCTGCCACCCTGCCACCCAGTGGCCTATGATGGCCACAGCACTATTCTCATCTCTTTCCATAGGTCCTTGTCTATTCCTGTCTAGCCACCATGGCCCCTTTCCTCTTCTTCTTCTTTCTTTGAGACAGAGTGTCGCTCTGTCACCCAGGCTGGAGTGCAGTGGTGCGAGCTCGGCTCACTGCAACCTCTGCCTCCCAGGTTCAAGCGATTCGCCTGCTTCAGCCTCCTGAGTAGCTGGAATTATAGGCACGTGCCACCACGTACAGCTGATTTTTTTTGTATTTTCAGTAGAGACGGGGTTTCACCATGTTAGCCAAGTTGGTCTCGATCTCCTGACCTCGCGATCTGCCCGCCTTGTCCTCCCAAAGTGCTGGGATTAGAGGTGTGAGCCACCACGCCTGGCCCCTCCTTTTCCTTTAAAAACAAGCCTGCCCCTGCTATAAGCCTTTGCAATTACTAGTCCAAGTATCCTCTCTTGTCACAGGTCTCTGCTCAATGTCACCTTTGCCACTGCAGACAGGCTTTGCTAGTTCACCCAGCATTTTGTTGCCATCAGTCTCTGTATCCACACCCTGCTTTATTTTTTGACATAACCCTTAGCACCACCTGACATGTTATGTTGTTATTCATTTAATTTTTTGTTGCCTTTCTCTCCCACTAGACAGAAAGCTCTATCTGAAATGAAGTTTTAGATAGTTGGCCTAATGCTTACTCTCCAGTGATCTGAACAATGGTACTTGGCACGTACTCTAAAAACATTTGTAGGATAAATGAATGAATGTACTAAACCCAATGAACCTCAAAGTGTCTGGAAGCAAGATCTCATATTATAACATGCTACAACACTTAATTTTTAGAGTGGTGGTCTTAAATTCCCAACAAATGTTTATGCTCAGAACTCTGTTTAATAAGACAGAAAATTTTTCTCTATATATTCAAAAATGGTTTCTCTCTCAGAAATTTATAAGCAAAAATAACTTAGCAACAGAAAGAATAAACTAATTTTCTTGTAAATTCACTTAAGTGAAGTCCCCAATGATACTGGAGAAATGAATTATTATTTATTATCTCACCACTCAATTGTATACAAATTGGAAATTAAAATGAACAAATCCATCTTCATATATTTTTTAAATTTCTTATTTTTCTTAGTTATACTGCAAGTGCCTCTGGGAAATATGACATGTGTGTATAAATAAGTTCCCCAGAAAGTTAAATGTAAAGGGATGTAAATAACATAAAATTTGTTTTAAAAGTATCAATTCACAAAGCTATCATCTAAACTGATGGGTTTCATATTAATCGAAAACAACTACTTTGTTTAGCTATAAGTGAGCACAAATATACATCCTTGATTTTCCTACTTTCTGATACATTTGATTTACACCTTTTTATAATTTTTGAGATAAGTGTTGCCTCTAATTGGAGTAAACATTCTTTCTAATATTCTCATTATATTAGAAATGTGCTAACATTCACTCATGTTCATTTCATTCATTTAAATATGCATCAGGTGTCTATGTTGTGCCAAGCACTGAAGTCAGCTGAAGTTGAAATTAACAATGCCCTGCCCTTGTAGAGCTTATGTTTTAGTGGGAAGAAACATCCCAACAACAAAAAAAATGTAAATTTATAGTATGTTTTAGTAATTAATACTAACAAGGAACATTAAATATAAAACAGTGGGCAGGGAGTGGGGGTGAGGTGGAGAGGAAGAGAATTGCTATTTTATGCTGACTTCTCAAGGCAAGCCTTGACAACATGATCAGGTAGTATTTGAGTAGAAATATGAAGAAAATGAGGAAGAAAGCTACGTTAGAAATCATCAGGACCATGCTAGGAAAACCTTTTTCTAGTCCATACCTGCTCAGTCAGGCTAGCTCACACTTGATAATAATGCATAACACATTTTCTAAAACTGAATATCCAATGCCTAGATATGGTTGCATTGAATGTAATTAAACTAAGTCGATAACTGGTTAAATGATCCAATAGCTAATTTAAATTTGGAATTTAAATGTAGCATTTATAAAACCATAATATAGTTTAGAGTTATTACATTAAACAAATTGACTTCTGTAACAAATTGATCATCTGAGTATCAAATTTTACATTTTTTGCTAATTTAAAAAATCAAAAAAATCCTTTTTTAAAAATTTAAAAATTAAGTAATGATTTGAAAAAATTATGTAATTATTCAGAATAACAATTAGAATTAAATTGAGATTAGTGAAGACCAGGGCAAATAAGCATTTTTTAAAAAACGTGACTGCAAAATTATTATCAGAATGTAAAGCACTAGCAATCTCACGTTCTTCCAAATTAAAACATAATCTATAATCATATTACTAAGCTAAAAAATGCAACAATTACTGTATTTTCTCCTGGAGGACATTAATCACAAATATTTATTGAGATCTTACATTGCATTTTGCTGTTTTTACTACTTCAGACAGATTATATGTGTGTGTGTGTGTACAGATATATATAAAATTCGACTTTGCTATATTCCATTTGTATATATGCACACATACACATACAAATATATGGTCTATTCCTCCATAAGTGGCAGTAATAAATGAATCTACAAAAAGTAATTAAACATGAAGTAACGATAGAGTAATACAAAATGGTTTAAAATTCAATGCTAACTAGAAGAAAATGAAATACTAAAAGTCACAAATAAACTAGAAATGTAGGGTTGTTGTTAGTTAAGTTGCTCATTAGACCTCATAATTAGTTAGTTGAGTTGCTCATTAGCTCCATCATAAACGTGTGACCTTGAATATGTCAATGCACCCCTTTCCTACAGGTGACACATAAGTAACATGAGGAAATTTAACTAAGTTTCTCTCAAGCTCTGAAAACTCCAAAATAGTGTCAACCATCAAGAGTTAGCAAACTATGGCCTGCAGGCCCAATCCAGCCCACAGATTGCTTTTGTAAGTAAAGTTTTATTGGAGCACAGTTACACATCATGCATTTATGTATTGTCTCGGATGACTTTCACACAGCAGTAGAATATTGCAATCGATATCATATGGCCCACAAAACTAAACTATTTACTATCTGAGCTTTTACAGAGTAAGTTTCCCCACCTCTTATCTAGTATAACAAATATTGAAGGAACTTAGGAATCAGAATGATTAAT